GTTTTCCGTTGTTTGTTCTGTTTCTTCTTCAAATTCTTGGAAAGCATCTACGAGATTCGGAATCGCTTTTCAATTCCATGAGGTTGCATGGGTGTTCGCCAATTGCCTTCCGGCAAATTGAGCGTAAAGTGACCTACGCTCGATTAATCTTCGTCGTTGCTGGTACAACATCTATGAGTACGAAATGTTTAGAAAACATATCAAATGCAATACAGCCTCTAATTTGCCATAATCACTTCCTACAGTGTTTCGTATGAACTTCTGAAGCACACGTATTTACATCAGGGCTGAGAAAAGGTTCTTTGCATGTTAAACAGTGTTTCGTTCTATCAATCTCATTTTAGCATTCTGTTGTTGTAAAGCTGCAGAAGCGCAAAACTGTTAGTTTTCCTTGTGCATTTTTTAATGGGGAGGAAACTTGGCTTTAGTAATCATTCTTATTGTTTATTCTTCTTCTTTCTCATGCTCGTTCCGTCGCAAATGTCACTAGACGATCGCCGCCATGAAAACCACCGTCGTCCCGTACTAGAGCGACTACAGACTACAAAACCGTCGACTTCACATGAAAGTTTCAAGTATTCGTTGTGAATTTTGTTAGGTTACCTTTTTATTCGTAGGTTTTTTCCTCATCTTTTATCTCGTACTTTGTTATGAATTTCGGACATTTGACGCCTGTCTTTCAGGGAATTTCATGCTTTTGAAAGTGTAATGAAGTTAAGTATATCTTTTACGTGCGCTTTAGAAACAGCTTTAAAAAATTCCAAAACGATTTTGTGGTTGGTTTCTTTTTTAGTTTTATTGCGTTCTCCATTTTATTCTAGTGGGAATGGGAGTTGTAATGGCTGTATCACTTATAAATGCTAATCTGAAAAAAACAAACGTCGACACGAAACGAATTTTCCTTTTTCTAATGTGCGGCCTTTGATTTATCGGTAGAAATACACCCCGGAGGCTAATAAATCGGTCTTAAACCATCAGCATGTGGAAAATAGTTGTTGATTATTCCCAATGGAAGCTGACGGAGGAAGTAAACACTTCTAAATAAAAGAAGTCATTGAAAAAATTGCTCGTTTTTTCTTATTTATGAGTTGTTCGCTTGTCGAAATGCACTAAAACGACTAAAGTTGACAAGATAAGGCAAAGATTAGAGTCTGTACTTTTTATGTGGGGAACTTTCTCTAACAACTTAAACGGAGCATCATTGTGGCACAGAGTTGCCTGCAAAACGAAACTGATAGTAGCTGGTTTGCAAAACTTCTTGTATAATTTCTTAGACAACAAATTTGCCGTCAGTTGTTGGTTACTTCCATCGTACGCTGAAGTCTGTTCACTTTTGTTCTCTAAACGTTTGTTCTCGTCCTAAGTTTAGCGCTTAGGGTCTGATTTGTTTTGAGTGCCACTCATACTATGTGGTAATAATGGGCAACTTTAACTCAAACTAGTATATCTCATCCCATAGCATCTTTTACTTTTTGGAATAAAAACCATTAAAATCCAACAATGTTAGTTAGTTAGTTTGTTCATAACATGCAGGTTCTACCACTCTATCAAGACTAACTGCTAATTTTATGGAACTCGGAGACATTGTTTTTGTCGCTTTCTTCGTTGAAGCTTACGTCTCAAATAGCAATGCGACTGTATATTTCCGGATTTCTATAGTTGGTTGACCTTTCCAGCTGTCGCAGTTGCGTTACGAGTTAGAAAAGTTCAAATTCCGTTTTAGTTCCATTTTGAAAATTTACGTCCTAGAGGACTTTAGAAATTAATTGTTGCGTTTGAAAAAACTGTTTATGATTAAATAGACCACAGACTGTTCTATAGTCTATCCAGTATTTAACTCCTTAAGTACTTTAGTTATCCAAAAACTGGCAATTATTCTTGAAAAATTACCTTTAGGCTCAAACTGGTAAAGATCTAGAGAAAATTTGTTATATTATAACGTGCGAATATGGTTTTTATGTTGTACGATGGCAATATTTATTAACAGTGCTGAGGAGGATCTGCGAGCATTAAAGCCTGTGAAGAGAAAAATGATGAGAAAATGCCAAAAATGAAGGATGTAGTACTATAGAACGAATAAATCATAGTCACACTAAAAAAAATTTAGTAAAAAAGATAAATGAGTGATTTTCTTCGTATTTTTGTTGAGCAAACGCGAGGTGTTATTATTCTTCGTTCACGATTAAGCTGACGTTTCGGCGGATTTCGCCTTCCTCAGAGCCTGGAAAGGTCAAGTTGATAGCAATCTACTCGGCCAGACGCCTCCATAACCAAACAAAGAAACCCTAAACCAAGGTTTTAATCACTTTGAACACAGCTTTGCAAACTCAGCGCTTCCTATGAGGTTTCCACTAAGTATGTCACGTAGAGACCAACAGCACAGAAATCACATGGAAGTATAATGTGCCCCTCACATCAGAAAAGCAGTTTTATATACTGCCCTATATCACGCGTGATAATGAGGCATTCTTCCCTGCGGTTCATTTTCGGATGTCTGGAATTAATCCAGAGTGCCTCGAGAGTTTTTTGCGCCTGTGTTCTTGATTCGCGTTCGAGGATCGTGACACATACTTCTAAGTCGTCCTCTTCGAAGTCACAACCAAATGGCGCGCAATGAAGAAGTTGAAAGAACTGGGATAGGAAGCTCTGTCTCAACCATTACTGATCGAACTTCTCGGTAAGAGAGTGCCACTTCTTCAAGCGTTTTGATAGCTAGTTTCTGAGAAATTCTTCAGCAAACAAGCCGCTGCTGAAAATTTGTTTTTGTAGCACGTCTCTTTTTTTATGGCCTCCTAAAAAGAACCACTAACAATTTGTTGTCTATGATTTTTCGGCTTTATTCACTTTGTGATTCAAAACAGTCCGTCCTTTTTTGACTGAGTGATAGTGTTTGGCACATATGGGAACAAAAATGTACCCATTTATTTGATTTGATTGGTTCAAAGTCTCTTCAAGGATGGTTAGGGCATCATCTTTTTGTACATTTGTTAACTATTGTAGCCGTTAATCAAGCCATTAACTGCGCAAGAAGGCCTGCAATTAAGTGGGTCACAGGTCATCACAATTTATGACCAGACATCCAGATCCATTTTTCATTAGATTGTGGTCATTTTCTGAATGATTTTATGGCCGTAGGTGCTTTTATGAATCAACCACCATCGATTGGTTTGCCAGATACCCGATAGTAATGTTTGTATGGGTTGCATCATCTACCGATCAGACGCCGTTGTTCGTTCGCCATTTTAATGTCCTTTTATATAAGTGGGTGGTATCATTCGACATTATTGCAATTCACTTATCATTGAGCTAAGACTTTTTTCGTGCACAGATTTTCATCGTACACAGAAAAGCAAGAGCGCTGATGTGAACGCCGCCATCTATCCCATGGGTGTTATTTGTCCTCATAGAATGCTGACCTCTCCGTTGCCCTCCGACATAGGTCAGCTCGACGACGCTCTTCTCCCAGTGGCCCACGATAAGAAGCATCAAGTATTGTGTGTACTTCCCTGGCTCTGACATTACATGAATGTTTTTTAACGTCTATTCTAATGTGTTTCGATATTGACTGATTCGTAATCATTTGAAAGTGTTCTACATTAGCATTCAAATCAGATTGTTAAATAAAATCATGTGCTTTAGCCCTGCTTAACATAAACTTTCCAATACAAAATCTTTTAAAATATTAATTGCTTTAAAAATTTCTGTCGATGTATTTTTTTCACTCAACAGCTTTCATTTTTGAACAGGCTGTCCGACGTGCGTCATGTTTTGATAGGAATATAATGGCAGCCTTCGAATTTAAACCGTCATATCTCAGCTTGTAGTAAATTTTATTAACTGAAGTAAAATGTCCTCGTCTGCAAGGTACAGGTTGTCTTATTATGTCAGGGTGGAAATCTAACATGCTGAAGCTTACGAGCTATGAGTTTTCCGCTTTTCTTCTTCAAGGCACGCATTCGAAGCATCGAAGCGAACGAGTAGGATTTCGACCAACAACACCCGACGGTGTTCTCTAATGTATCGTCGATACTTGCGCTTGCTGTGGATTTCAAATTTTCGCTTCCGCTTTTCTGTAAACTTTGAATTTAAACATTTTTATAATGCTATGTTAAAAATAGTTTTTGGAGTTTCCTTAAATTTTGTGTTAAAAAGAGTAGGCAGTAAATGATAACTTAAAATTGTGATTATAACTGCAGCCTTAGCTTAGCTGGGTTCATTACCGATTTGGGCTCCCCAGATCATTCCCGCTGACGGCTGATTGTTGATGGCAAAGGATCGATAGAACTAGTTGAGAGACAGGCGAAACGAAGGACCCGCATGGTGTGGTGGAGAACGCGTTACTACCCTGAAAGGACAATAGCGCGTTTGTTCCACACCGCAGACACCTGCGGTACGGAGTTTTGGAAATATCTCAGCATCATTAAAGTTATATTTCGCAATATATACCTTACCTTTGAAGGGAGTAGGCAGTAAATAATATGTTAAAAGTTTTATAATAATTGAGAATACTTCATAAGGTTCATTTGCACCCTCAAGGCAACATGGCTGTGAACTGAGAACATATCACTAAATTCTCGGTAGTTGTTGAAAAACCATCTTTGGTCGTTGTGTGTTTGGAGGAACACTATGCTGGTCATTCTCATTTCATTCATTGCCTTTGATAACTAAGCGAAGAGTTTGATCGAATTGAATCCACTGTTATTTGACTACAGTTTAAGGTAAGGTTATTTGAAAATGCCTGGCTCATTCAAAAGTGATCCATCGTTTGATCCAATTTTGGTTCTTTCAGTTTAGATATTCGCCTGTTGCCTTTTTTCTTCAGAATTTGTTCTGCGCTGTTTTGTCTAGTCTGTCAAAAGTATAGCATTCTTAGTTCTGTTTTTTTTTCAGGCAGTTTAAACTTGAATGACTCGCACTTTATTCTTTTACGTTGTTGCATACAGCTGCTACTTCATTGTTGTATACCTTATTCTTTTTGTACTTGTTATTAGCTTTTCAGCATGGGAAGCGGTTCATCGAGCCACCAAAATCAGGATATGATGGATCATCACCATCAATATCCCGATATGAATATGATTTTTAAAGGAATTCCTAAAATGATTCAGGTAGAATCATAAGATATGGTGTAATTAAGCTAGCTCGGAGAAAAACGGATTAATTAACTTGTTAGATTTTAGGGAAATGTAATATTCATCACCGAGGATATTTAGAGTTAACTAATCATTGTTAGTGCAAAATGTTTTATGTGGCCGATGACATGCATCGAATGACGGACTATATAATGGACCTTCGGAATATGACGTTTGGTCTGGTGATCATCTCAGTGATCGGCGTGTGCTGTTTCCTCCTTCTTCGCCTCTTGCAAGGAAGAAGCTCCCATCGACGTCGAAAACGCTCCATATTGCGACAGGTGAGTGACCAGATTTTCTGACAGATTCCAATATGAGCTTGTCTTCTACATACGGAGTAATCAAAAGCTTTTGAGGAAGTCATAAACATGTGCAACAGTTACATATGAAAGAAATTAGAAGGCAGTGTCGTATTAGGGATTTGAACTTTTGAGAAAGGTAAGCGGTGATTGTAAATAGCAGCTCTACCAAGCAAATATACCTAGTAATTTTTAAATTGGCTGATCGTACCATCAAATCAGAAAAATTACATGAAGCTGTGGGTTACCTTGCAAGTTTACTAGCCTTCTCTATGTCTACATCCTGGTTGTAAGACTAGTCGAAGTGCTTTCGCTTTAAAACATGAGAATGTTTTCTAATTCTGAATCAGCCAATGATGTTCGTCTGTTTACGTTTTACTGTAAAAAACCATGGCTGAGCAATAACATTGGGCTGAACGTGTAGAAGGAAAAGGTGAGTCTCGGAAACACCTTTTTCTTTGTTATTGATTCTTAATAGAATGACAGCTAAGTGAAACAGGTGATTCGCTGTTCTAGGAACACTTTGGAGTAAACAGTTGCTCTGCGTTCTGACACAGGAACAAATCTAAAAGGTATTCATCAATTTTCACCCGCCACCGCTGAGTACAGTGAATGAACACCGGTGCCAGTTCTTATTTGTGTAGTTATTCGTCAGCATGCAGCTAAAGGGATTTGCAGGTATTCTTGAAAAGTAGAAAGACTTGTTCAAAGCAACCGTTCGGAGGGTTCATTCATGAGAACGGGATACCACCAGTTCTTGCATTCGCTCTCTTTTCCACTCATTCTTCCTCCACGAAAGCCTTCGGACATTTCGCATATTGTTTCGGGTGCTGCTTAAGGATTTCGTCTTCCGTATAGATGTCGTAGAATTCTCGTCGAAACGATTCTGCTTGCAATCTTGGAGATAGCTGGGCTAAAGCTTTCCGACATAGATTCGAGGAGAGTGTCAGGGAGGGCGTCGAACGAGCGCCTTTGCTTCCTTATCAACGGCACCACTAACCACTGTGCCACCTCCCCGTACATACATATATGTATATACATATAAATACATACATATACATACATATATATACACATATATATGCATATATATATATAAAGGATAAAGTATTCGACGTCGAATTGTTATTTATGAAAGCACCATGCGTTCGACTCAAATTGAATGACTTGTGAAGGCTCCCTACTGTATCAATTTAGTGTGTTTTTGCTCTCCCACACAAGTCTGGCACTGTATATACATATAAGTACATACATATGCATTCATATACATATTTATCGGTCCTGAATAAAGAATGGCTTGTTAGGCCCACGATATGGGATTGGCCCAAAGACTATTCCCATTGCAGGATCCGTCTAACTGTTACGCTGCTTGTGCCTTTTTTGTAAAAGTACCAACACGTTAGCGTATGTATCCATATAGTGTTATTAAGAACCTAGTCGCTGGTGCTTCTTAAAAATCTTTTAAAACTTGTTAAAATTTTTGTTAAGTTGTTTCATCAATACGCGGTTTCCGTTTGGAAACATGTCCTGACTATTATGGTGTTTAGAAATGCTTGCAGCTACGTAGCTAAGTTGGAGATTTTTTATAATACCAAGTACCACATGTTAGTGGTTAACACTGCAAAGCGGAGCTGTACGTCAATGCGAGGATTCTTTTTTGGAAGGACTACTTCGTGTTCGGTCGATTTCTAATGAGTTTACTGGATTTCCGAGGAACTTTTTTGGATATTGTGATGGCAGGCTTCAGCTTGAATGACATTTCCGTTCCCACAAACGTGGTGTTTTCATTGTTATCTCAAAGCGTTTTATCATTTTAACATAAAATTTATAATATCACACAAAGTTATGCTGAAAAAGGGAGAGGAGAAAAAGATATATAGAAGCGTCACTGAGCCGAAGTGATTAAGCTGGCTAAGTTCTGTTTCCCACTGTTTTAGCGGAAATGAAGTTTGCACCACACTTTATCCCTGCAATTATCTCGAAGTGTTATGGTCCAAAATTTGCAGTAATTTTTGACCTTGCTTCTTGACTTTCGGTCTTTGCAAATTGGTTTTACGTTTCCGTCTATACGTTTTTTTTCAGTTCAGCGTAATGAAACAGAATAGAACAACGCGGGCTTCGGTCTCAGCGGCATACCTAGGCTAATTTTGCTGGTATTCCCTCTAGTTTTGTCTTCATTTCTGAAGGTCTCGCTGTATGTGTTTTCGGTAAGATGAACAAGATGAGGCGTACCTTACTTCATTCAAGAGTTAACACGCAATGTTACCACATGTTTATTCGGCCGACATTTCGACGTCTTCTTTTTCATCAGAGCCGGTGATTCGAGTCGATTGTCCTCAGTCGCTCGTCTTCTCGATGTGGCGTGTTCGTCATCGTACTGAGTAGGATTCGTGTCATTGGAGCACAACTCGAGTGAGAAAACCTCATCCGTCAGCGCTCTTCTATACAGGACGGCCGTTTTTGATATGGCTGTCCGTTGATAATAATTTGTTTTTCAGTGGATAATCCATGCTGCAGAATTCGGTATTAGATAAGCTTGCACGCAGCGAAGAAATATCATTTTAAATCGACTTTCATATAGCTGCAGCATAAGGTATAAATAAGCAATGTATCTTATCTTGCTAGTAAGGTAAGATGAGTTTGTTACCACATATTTCTTCGGCTACGGTTTCGACGTCTTCGTTTTCATTAGAGCCGATGAGTCATTCCAGTGTGCTCCAGTGAAGGATATCCTACTCGGTCCGGCGACAAAGACACCACATCGAGACGACAAACGACTGTCGACTAACGACTCGAACCATCGGCTCCGATAAAGGTGAAGGCGTCGAAACGTTAGCCGAATGAATATGTGGTAACAACCTCTTGTTAGCGCGTCGATGAAATAAGGTACAATTATCATTTATACCAAGGTTAAATGAAAGTCAATCCACAAAGATGAGACTACTTCAAGGTTAATGAATAGTTGCTTTTGAGGGAACCCTTTGTGTTTCTGTGCAAATCAGTGTTTTCTTGTTGTTAGTACATTCTCTTCCCAGTATCTCCCTCATATAAGGGATCTCGAGCCGGTTGGTCGCGAGGCTACGTGGTGCGTCCCCAAGTGGTGGATAGGGGTTAATCACGGACCAGAAGCGACCTCTGCTTCCCTGAGACACAAGTGGATCCATGGGATGGACTCCCTATTTCTGCTGCTCTGATTTGGCACATACTTTCTGTATTTACTAGGCGTATTCATGCATGAGTGTGTGGGTGCGTTCTTGCCTATGCGGATTGTATTCTACGAGTCAATTTGGCCAAAAGCCTGCAATCAAGTGACTAGGAAGTATACGGGAGGCGGTTAAAACTCGCCTCCAACAAACAAGCTCCATGCCCACTCTGGAGGAGCCTGGCAAGCTACCCGTGAGTATAGCCAGCCCTCTCGTTCAGAGCCCAGCAAGCTATATGTGGGTATCAAAAATGCTAAAATGCTAAAAAAAAACGGGCCTCATTACTCTGACCCCGAAAGAGCCATCACTTTCGCAGCGTTGGGTAGGACGATATGGAGAGGCTGCTAAAATCTCAGGGCCAATGGAAGCTGCTAGGATTTCAAAGAACTATGGTGACGATCTGTACCTACAATGCACGTACACTTGCATCTGAGTGCTCAATAGAAGACTTGCTGATGCAAGCAAGAAGGATAAGGTTCGACGTCATCGGCCTGGCCGAGACGAGAAGACCCCGAAGAGAAGAGTCTTTCAACGCCGTCTATGACACCGGAGAAGAAAAGTTCCTCGGCACATGCGGCAGTAGAAGAGCTGGCGGCATCGACGTTCTCGTCAACACGAGTTTGCCCATGAACATCGGTTCATTCGAACATGAACATTCGATTACAACCCGAATCGGACGTTTACGATTAAGGAGGCGTGGATCAATTCCGGCTTTTACAATCTTCGTCGTTTACGCGCCGACATCAAACTATGACGAATAAGAAGTCGAAGCGTTCTATACAAACTTGGAGGAGTTCTACAGAGAAGACCACACATTTTTCAGGGTCATCATTGGAGATTTCAACGTCAAGATTGGACCAAGAAAAACGTCTGAAGGAAGTCATATTGGGGCCCGCGGATTAGAATGGAACAAACAGCGTGAGCGGCTACCTGAGTTTTTCATGGCGACCAAGGCCATCCATAGCAACTCGCAATTCCAGAAGTCCCACCGTCAGCGCTGGACGCGGGAGTCTCCCGATGGAGAGTACCATAAGGAAATAGACCACATCATAGTAAATAGTAAACAGAAAGTTTTGCCTCACCGATGTTGCTGTTGTCCCAAAATTCTACACGGGATCAAACCATCGTCCCCTTCGTGCAAGATCCTATTACTCGCGGAAAGGGGACTAAATTCCGAAACTGAAGTACCACAACCACGGCAAACTGGGACTTATTCAATTCATTACACGACAGTTATCAGTTTATCACGACAACAAAGACCATCCATAGCAACTCGCAATTCCAGAAGCCCCACCCACAACTCTAGGGTTGATACGACAGCGTGGAATCGCACGTGCTGCAGGCAATTTCGAACTAACGTCCGAACATGCAATACAATGCAGACAGGCGATTAAAGAAGACCTTAGAGAGAGAAGAGCAACAGTAATGGTCGAAACTTCAGAAGCTGGGAAAAGCATTCGCAAAGCGCGCCGATGCTTCGCCAATTACAAGACCAAGATAACTGCCCTTCGACGCCCATACGGAATACGTACAGCGTACAGAAAGACAATGGAGAAAATCATCCACGTATACTACTCAGATCTCTTCGATAACCACGCCCACCTTCCATCATATGAAATAAAGGAGGATGGATATGAATGTGTCGTTTTCTTGCTCAGCAATCGCGAGGTTTTTAAACAGCATACATTTACTTCCATAAAGAAAACACAATACAATACAACGCTAGCTGACGTTTCGGCAGTATCGCGTTCTTCAGAGCCTGGAAGGGTATACTGATATACAATCTACTAGGCCAAACGCTTCAATAACACTTACAAAAAAAAAATGGATATGTTGTAACACCGGTTCTCCTTTCTGGAGACCGACATGCCATTTCGTCGGGGAAAAATCGAACAGCACGAGGTCCGAGGAGCACAAGGTCAGAACACCTCAAGAACCTTCCGCCAGTCCTCGATAACACACTGGCTCGGCTCTTCACACGTTACCTGTATGAATGCAAGGTCCCTACTTAGTGGACGACCAGCAAGGCCGCGTTATTCTGCTTACTGTCTGTCGTCTACAAACTTTTCAATCGAGGCATCCTAAACAGAACTGACAGAACATTAGACGAAGGACAGCCATGTGAGGAAGCAGGGTTTCGAAAAGGGCTTAGTACGATGGACCACATCCACACGGTAACAAGGCTCACTGAAGTATCGCGAGAGTACAAAAGACTGGTCTGTCCCACTTTCATCGATTTACAGAGGGCCTTTGATTCAATTGAGTTGGAAGCAGTCTTGGAAGCCCTTGATAGTCAAAGAGTCCCTACTCAGTACATAAAGATTCTTCGTGAACTTTACAAATTTCACAACCAAGATATTACCGTTTTACAACGATATTAACATTGGTTTCAGAAGAGGAGTTAGGCAAGGCCATACCATCTCGTCAAAATTATTTACCGCTACCCTCCAGAGCGTCATGCCACCATTGGAATGGGATAATATGGGAGTGAAAGTCGACGGTCGGCAGTTGCACCATCTTCGCTTCGCTGATGACATCGTCCTTATGACACCAAAGACCAGCCAAGCGGAAGGTGTGCTTGACGACTTTGATAAAGCCTGTGGAAAGATTGGTCTTCGACTAAATCTCACAGAAACGATGCTCATGAAGAACGGATTGGTTTCTCATGCCCCATTCACGCTCAATGGAACGAATATCTCCGAATGCTCCAATTATGTCTATCTTGGTCGGGAAATCAATATGATGAACGACCTAGCTCCAGAGCTGAGCAGAAGGAAACGAGCGCCTTGGGGAGCTTTCAAGAGCATCGAGGATGTAGTGAGGAGAACAAAGAACACCCGACTCCGTGCCCACTTTTCCGACTCAGCGGTACTTCCTGCCCTGACGTGTGTGCTAGAAACCTGGTCGCTGCGTAAGCAGGATGAAAGGTCACTCAGCGTTATCGAAGGCGCAGTCGAAAGGACGACGCTAGGAGTATCCCGTTCCACACAAGTAAGACATAGGATCCGGAGCTCCGATCCGCTTCAACGGTCAAAAATCGAAGATAGTGTTCTGGACTCCAAACAGATAAGGTGTGCCAGACACGTAATGCGTATGAATGACAACCGATGGACAAGAGCCGTTAGTGAATGGATTCGTCGGGATGTCAAACGTACTATAGGAAGACCACCGACCCGATGGTCAGAGCTCTTGGCAAAGAGTCTTTAAGAAAGATATTATGTTCGACGAGTCCCTAGAGCGAGCAGAACCCATTGGGCTGTTTCTGCACGCGACAGGGAAAAATGGAAGATTTAGTGGCATCCGCCCGGGTCACTCGACGATCAACGGGACCGCAGGTGATACAGGTGACAGGAGTACATTCTCTTCACCGTCGAACGTGGAGATGGTCGACCTTAATTTTCACCATGGTTGTAAAAATACGAAAACAGCGGAATGCTGCGGTATACTTTTTAATTTAATAAATGCACAGGTCCTCCTTATTTTTGCGATCTAGTTTTTTTTTATGTTGGGGAAAGAGCTGAAAAAATGTCACTGTAGTTTTGGTTATATCAGCCAGTTCTCGAATTATGTGTTAATAAGCTTTGCGGCAATAAAAAGAAACACTAAGGTCAAGCAGATGCTTTTAAAACTGTGTTCCACCTCAAAGTTCCTCAATATCGCTTTCTTCAGAGCCTGGAAGGGTATGCTGATATACAGTCTACTAGGCCAAACGCTTCATTCACACTTGCAAAAAAAAACGAAAAACCCTATGGTAATTACATGATCAACAGCTTCTCAAAAAACTCATCTCTTTTTACGTGACTTCCAATGAGAAAGATTAGAGCAGGTGATTATAGTCGCATATGGTTGATGACTGCACCAACCCACAACAGAAATTGATCCGAAGGTACGGGCCCACGTCGCGTGTGACCTCTGGGCATTCATGCCTGCTATTCATTGTAGGGTTTTTGGCATTTATCCAAAAAACTTCAAGAAGTGTTTACGCTGGCGTTTTGGTCTTCTGTGCAGGGATATTGACTTTTACTTCAAAATCGTCTCCACTATGCTTTGTATCCTATGCGTCCTTAGTGGCGTGCCTTGATTTGATTTTCGTTTGCCATCTAGGTGTCTCGAACATCGCGACTGCTGAACAAGAAAACGACGCATTCATATTCCAATGCCTAGGTTACTAGACAGTCAATCCTGGAAACTATCTCAGCATATCCACAACGTTGCTGAGATATTTGCAAAACTCTGGACCGCAGGTGTCTATGGTAGGAAACGAACGCGCTATTGTCCTTTCCGAGGAGTAACGCGTTCACCACCACCACCATGCGGGTCCTTTGTTTCGCCTGTCTCTCAGCTATTTCTATCGATCTTTGCCACAGCAATCACCCGTCAGCGGGATTGATCTGGGGCGCCCAAATCGGCTTAGAACCCAGTTAAGCTGCGGCTGTAGTTGAAATCACAATGTTATACCTTTTTATTTTCTGTCTACTATAACTTCGCGACAGGGTACTAAGTGAAATACAACCACAACGTTGCTGAGATATTTGCAGAACTCTGGACCGCAGGTGTCTATGGTGGGGAACGAACGCGCTATTGTCCTTTCCGGGGAGTAACGCGTTCACCACCACACCATGCGGGTCCTTTGTTTCGCCTGTCTCTGAGCTATTTCTATCGATCTTTGGCACAGCAATCACCCGTCAGCGGGATTGATCTGGGCGCCCAAATCGGCATAGAACCTAGTTAAGCTGCATGGTGTGGTGGTGAACGCATTACTCCCCGGAAAGGACAATAGCGCGTTCGTTCCCCACCATAGACACCTGCGGTCCAGAGTTCTGCAAATATCTCAGCAACGTTGTGGTTGTATTTCTCTTAGTACCCTGCCGCGAAATTATAGTAGGCAGAAAATAAAAAGGTATAACATTATCTCAGCATAATTGAAGTTATAATTTGCCATTATAATTAGCGCACATTGTTTGGTCGAAGCCCTAGTTGAAGGTGTTCTGAGGAGCGATTTTCATTTTTGTTTCAATGCCCTAATCTCAGTTTGTAGATTCTGGAATGGTTTTTTAATGTTTGACAAAGGCCTTCTCTGAAATCCTTCGTCATATTTTTGTATGAAAATGCTCATGGTAGAGGTGAAATCATCTGATCTTTATGTAACGTTACAACGTCCAAGAACTGAATTGATGCCGTTGAAGACTATCAGACAATAATGCTGTTTAAAGCGGATTTCCAACTAATTTATCCATGAGATTTCATAACGTAAAGTGCCACGAAATCTTTATTATGTCTAGCTTCTTCGCTCTTCGTCTTCGTCAACGCCGCAATGGTTTCAATCGAAGGAGGACAGTCGTTACATTGCAATGTGTGGGTCTTCGTAATCTCATTGTGTAGGATCGAGAAACCTACAACGTAGAAAAACATAAGTATTACATGACTCGATGTCCTATGTACCAAGATGTGGGGATCAATTGTTTTTTAAATTCGGTTCATTTCTTTACATAGACCATTGATGAAGGTCTTTAAACTCATTTTGCGTGTGGATCAAGCTGCTATTTGAGGATTTCCTCTGCACAAGTGTTATTGAATGCTGATGGTGTCAATTCTTTCTTGAATCCTGTGATAGTCCTGATTGGGTGTCTACGCTGGATTACATGTAGCCAGCTTGTTCCAGACAAGTTTGTTGTCATTATGATGTCGGTTTGCTAAGTGTAGAAAGTCTGATGGAAGGGCTCAGTGGACAAAAACTGTGAGGAAGTGCTGACTGATCTAGGAGTAATGAATCTCACTCTGATTTCTTTTCTGATCAAAAAACTACTACAGAACTACGTTTAGACCAATTTTTTTTGCACTTTAACTTCTCGATGTCTTAGTTTCGTGAGAACTATAGGCTGCTCATCGACGCTGTGTGAAAAAACTCTGTAAAACACAAACTATTATTGGAAATTCAACTATACGCTGAGACATTTCCTTAACACCGGGCCGCAGTTGTGTGCGGTAGGGATCGAACCCGTTATTGCACTTTTTGAGGGCTAACGTGTTCACCACCACACCATGTGGGTTCCTCGTTTCGCCGTTCTCTCACCTCGTTGACTGTTGATTGCTGATGGTACTGGTAGATAGAAAACTAGCTAACAGAAATGCGAAAGGAGGGACCCGTATGGTGTGGTAGTGAACGCGTTAGCCCTTGGAAAAGGTAATAGCGTGTTCGATCTCTACCGTATACATTTGCTGTCCGGGGTTTTTCGAATATCTCAACATCATTGTGCTTGAATTTCTCATAATACTCTGCCGTGAAAAATTGTAGTAGGCAGTAAATAAAAAGTTGACTATTATTAGAAACTCTCTCTATTCTTTTTACACCATTCATCTGCAGAAAATTTAATCCGAATAATATAATTACAAGAACCCTCGTATATATTTGCTAAGAAACCAATGGAAATGTGGAACAAATTTAATTATATGGGTATTTTCGTTTCCTTTATTATTTTCTTTCAGTGTAATGCCGCTTCGTCATCCTTTCCTAAGCTCACATTTTCGTTGTAAGCTATCATTACGCCCAATTTTTCTATTATTTTGTTAGTACTAGGTGTAAGAAAATTCATGCCATCATGCAGAGGTGCCACATTCAATTTTACACCATCGCATTATACTCTTAATCTATCTGTTGAAAAAGATGAAACCTCGGTTCAAAACGAAATCAGAAAACACTCAGAAACAACTAGTATGACGCTTCAGTGTATTCATATTTAGAAAGTACCATCTTGTTGGATTGTTGTTGATCTGTTTAGCGGCTCTCGGCCAATAGTAATCGTTTTAAATGTGAAAGAAAACCTTCCATTAACAATGTTTTGAAACCATTTTGTTAATGCCTGACAGCTTTTAGGAGCAGGGAAATGAAAGCCATATTGTTTTAATTTTACCGCGTAATTGTCGGGTGTGAATAAAGCTAAAGTTTGAAGAGGCTTTTGTTGATATTTTAAATTTTGATGAGCGCTTAGAAGCTCCCAACCGTGTCAAAAATACACTCAAGGATTGTTATAATTCGATCATTGAAACTAAATAACGGATTTCGTTCGGTTGACTTTTTTAGCAGGGATTAATGATACCGTTCGTTTTCTACTTATGAATTCGAAGAGATTCTGAATCTAAGTTTACTTGAATCCCCCCATCCGCCAACCTGGTGGTCTCAGTTTACTTAGATTTAGAGTTGAATTAGTGATTTGGGTGCGCTTAAGTGATGTGTTATTGTAATGGGATACTTATGTGTAAGTACTAGCACATTGTATTTCAGGCAGAAGAAGGATATCCGCATACGAATCGGTACTACTACCAATCACAATACGCGCCAGAACCATGGGATCGACCAAAATCGACGTTTAGTCATCAGAGTCATATTGAAGACAAGAAGCCAGTAGATAGCCGAAATAGTCCGCTAGAAATAAGACCAAACGGTAACCTTCCATACAAGGTGGGCATACGTCTTTCCATCCACGCATATTCGTTGTTTGATTACGAATCGGAGAAAGTTCCCGCCGAATCTTCTTTACTGCGATGAATGCAGACTCTAAAAAGACGAACACAATGTCCGCTGTTCTCTATTATTGGGAAGTGAAGATAACTGTTAGAGATAGATCTATTGATTGGCGTATTGCGGAACAGTTCATCATAGGGAACATCGGGGAAAAAATAGGCCGCCTTCTTTGTTAACTAACTGTATTCAGATATGCACTATTCGAAATATTTTTTGCTTCACGTTACTTAATAGCACGCTTATATACTCGTTTTGACTGGGAAAAATGTGAGTTCCAAGTACAATGACAGATTTTCATACAGTTTAAAAATACCAGTCGCTTTTTTTATTGTTAGGGTTTTGTTAAATGAGTAAAATCCAATGTGCTAAAATATATGTTATCTAATTTCTTATCGTCCCTCCACTTCGGAATTTTTAAACGTACTGAGCATTAAGCATATCTTCTGGATTTATTCTTCTACGAATTCGCTGTTGCAGTGCTACAACAACGACGACCAGATTTCGCCTGATGTAGAGAAGCGGACGACACCGCCGGCCGATGTTTCATCATACAAGGTGTCTGTCGACGCCTATAAGCTTTAACGTAAATGTCAAATGTACATTTGTTGATACATTGTGCAGAACTATATCTGCGAAATCCACGTCTGAAAACGAGGAGGCTTTCCCACTGATTATGTTAATCATT